GAAAGGTATCTAAACAGGAATCAGTTGTCACCAGTTCATCATTGCAATATTTTCTGTTCAGAAACTGATACCCGGCATTGTCATAATGTTTGTGGGCTGTGAAAAATGGGACAGATAATTGGGTTGGCAGCATTTGGAAATCACATGAAAGAGAAGACTGAGTAAAATTCCCAAGAACTCCACAAGAGCACGTGATTGGATAATACCCAATATACGAGATCTGTATCATATTCCAGTGGTAGAATAGATCTTGTGATACAGAGTGCAGTTCTGGTCATGTCCCTTTAGACTATATATGGGGTTTTTAGGTTACAGAAGTAATTAGACTTCTGTACAAAGTGTTGGTGTTTATTTTCCATTATAAACAATGAAAAGACATATAATCAAGCCACAAATCAAAAGAGAAAGAAAAAAAAAGGGGGGGGGAAGGAAGCAAAGAATTTACTGGCAGTACATGCCATTTTATTTCTTTTTATAATAATATTAGATAAGCATATATAATTAAATTGAAAGCAATTAATTGAGAGATAGCAAAAGCAATAACTGTTTTACATAACAAGCAATTAGCTTGTAAAACTGTTTGCCAGAAGCGATGGCTGAAGTTGAGAGCTTAAACCAGCCTCTGTGGGTTTAATTTTCTGACAGTTCACAGGAGAATTAGGTAGGCATTTTTTGCATCATGGGAATGAGGACAGAACAACTGCCCAAGATAAAAGCAATGCTTGAAATAGTGTTTGTTTCTTGTATCTCCCCTTGAAGACACGTTCCAGGCCATCATGTAAGACATGGTTCTAGGTTGAATCAGTCACTGTGTTGGTTCTTACATAGCTTTATGGAAGGGTCCGTATTCACAGAAGATTAAGGTATAAGTACCAGTGTACAGTGTCATAAGCAGGATGATGTCATATTTCAGACACCTTTTAATCCGTTTGAGTATGCACCTTAATTCTGAGACAATTTTGATCCAATTAAGGAATCAGTTGGGCAGGGAGGGGGCTATTTTAAAGAAGTCTTTGGAGGTCTAATCATTTTTAAACAGACAAATATCATGCCAGGCCTTTGCTCTGAACTAGTTATCTTAAGCTAAAAACGCTACATAGGAGTGGTTTGCCTATCTAAATAGTGCTTGGGAGTATCATCAGAGTAATGTTTGAACAACTCTGACAAAACATACTGCTTTTTCCACAGCTAAGGAAGTAGAAAATCTAAAATGGCTGAAAGATTTCTGCAGATAAGGAAAAAAATGCAGCTGCAAAGGAAAACGGAGACAAAAATATTTGCACATTCTTTCCCATAACAGACTCTCATTGCGACGCTTGAATCAGGCATTGACTCATCTGGGTAAAGCCTTTTACTGCAGGTGCCATCCATTTCATGAGTCTCTTCAGAGGGCATTGGGGGGAGCTGCGCTGCAACAGGAATGCCTCAGCATTCCTCAGATACAGCAGGTAGGAGAGCAGTCCCTCTCACACAAACAGCAACTTGCTGCAGCTCTTCTCGCTTCAAAGCAGTATTTCATCTCTTTCAAAATCGTATTCCATGAGGTAAAGGAAGTATCACGCTGAGATTGTCAGCGACATTCCTCACTCCTCAAACGGCTTCCTTTGAACAGCTGTTAAGATACCATTTTAGTTTCACATTTGCTCTGAAGGGGTAGCAGATAATGAGTGCAAGTTGGAAAGAAACTGTTTGAATTCCTAGGCAGACACTTTATTTGTATTGCACTTATGGTCGGCCAGCAGCAGCGACCATTTGTTTTTAACTGTCACTGGGATCCTGTGTCCTGCTGTGTGAGATGAAACACAGCGAAGGATTCATCGTTCCTCTCTCTTACTTTAGGTGGTTGCTGCAGACTGTCTCAGGGCAGGGGGGATATGTGTGAAATGAACCAAGCACCACGTTTTCTATGCGTGGGTGGCTAAAATACAATGGGAACTGAGGGCACAATCCAAATCATTATGGATATTCCTAGAAAAATCTCTTATCCCTTCTAGCATCACCTCTCAGGGCAGGGAAGTGCCAGTGCGGGACCAGTTACCATGGTGGTTCATTCTTCCATTGTCTCATCCTAAAACAGGGAGCAGAAAGTCCTCCAGAGGTGGATGCAGGGAATGGCTTTAGCTTTTCAGCTGGGGGGGGGGGGGGGGATAAAACAGTGCAAACGCTCATCACGTTTATATGACTGCTTTGGCTACAGTTAGTGACACAGCTGAAACCCTCCCCACCAACCTAAAAGCAGCAATGGCATGTAGTGCAGGCAGAAAAGTCACTCTAGTGACTACTAGTAATTCAGAAATGCAAATGGAGAGAAGTGGTTTATGAATTATTTGAGCAGTATGAGGTATCTTGAAGCACAGTACAAGTTTAAGAAATATGTTACATAGCGGTAAGCTCAACAGTTTTGTTGCCAATAACTACAATGATTTAGCATTGTTTCTTTTCTGGAGTTGAACAAAATGCACAACTGCTTCCCTTTATGTACCCTAAGGGCATATTAGGGCAGTGTTTTTTGTTTGTGGAATAATGGTCAAAACAGCTTTGCATAACCAGTTACAGTAAAAATCATTTGCACTATTTGTATTATCTACTTACACGGGCCATTTTTGGCTCCTATGTGGTTTGCAGGAAGTTTGGCTGAATTTCAAAACAAGCTTTTAAAGCTGCTCGGAACCAACAGAATAGATAGGGTTGGAAAGGACCTTAAGATCATCCAGTTGCAACCCCCCCTGACATGGGCAGGGACACCTCACACTAAACCATGGCACCCAAGGCTCTGTCCAACCTGGTCTTGAACACCACCAGGGATGGAGCATTCACAACCTCCCTGGGCAACCCATTCCAGTGCCTCACCACCCTTACAGTAAAGTGCTTCCTCCTTATATCCAATCTAAACTTCCCCTGTTTAAGTTTTAACCCGTTACCCCTTGTCCTATCACTAATGAAGAGTCCCTCCCCAGCATCCCTATAGGTCCCCTTCAGATACTGGAAGCTGCTATGAGGTCTCCACGCAGCCTTCTCTTCTCCAGGCTGAACAGCCCCAACTTCCTCAGCCTGTCTTCATACAGGAGGTGCTCCAGTCCCCTGATCATCCTTATGGCCTCATCTGGACTTGTTCCAACAGTTCCATGTCCTTTTTATGTTGAGGACACCAGAACTGTACTCCAAGTGAGATCTCTCAAGAGCAGAGTAGAGGGGTAGGATCACCTCTTGCATGACATCAGCTGAAGCTAAAGATGAGCTTTACATGACCAGAAAATGAAAGAGGAGGTACTTTGGATTCTTATATGGCCCACAGAGCGGTTTTGCTTTTTCCTTAAAATTATGTGTAAAGAGAGAATTTAAAAAGAGAATTAAAAAAAATGCATCACATGTATTTTTTGTCTTGAATCACAGAATTTCTCACAGATTCAATGGTATGTGAATTATGATAACAGAAAAGCAACGAAGCACATACCTATGTTCAGTGTTAAGGCTTGTGGTAATTTGTGTGTTTAAATTTACCAGTTACACTACATTATTTTTGCGGGGTAGCGCTTTTTTCCTAGTTCATGTATCATATCAGATTTCAGATTCTCTCATGCTTATGTTGAATCCAGCCCCAATTCTGTCACTATCATCCCAATGGAGCTGTATGAAATACAGCAGGATTATCTGTATGCTAATCGTGTAAATGAAGATGCAATAAAGGTAACATCAGTGTAGATGTATAGGTCATAAAAGATAAGCAATGTCTGGGGTTGGTAGGTTACTTCCGCAGTTGTATAGATTGTTGTTTGAAGGAGGGCTGGAGCGATGCACTCTTTGCTGACACTTGGAAAACACAGTAAATACTTCGTGGAACGCATCAACTGCGCTCAGCTTTGTGTGCGACACAGAACTTCTATGAAGCGCGTTATTATTAAGGATTAACTACAACATTACCTTTTAATAGGATCATAAATCTTTAATTACAGTTCAATATGGTACCAACTAAAATTGCTTTTGGAATGAAACACTTTTATTGAATGATATGAATGCGAAATTTCTTTCAGAGGTAAAAAAAATCATAACTTCTCAGGGCGAAGTTAAGGCATGCAAAACTCCCACTGACTTCAAAGGATGCCAGTGTCTGCCCACGGATTAACATGGGATTTACCTGGTCTGCCATTACTATTTTTACTACTTTTAACACCCATTAAAAGTTCGTGCCCCTCTGTGGTTGTTATATTTATAGTTGTTTTTTAAATTCACAATAGTGTCAGCTCTAATTATTTGAGAGATCTCATCCAGGCAGTGGAGGAACAGCAGGTTGGTGGTGGGTGGTTTTCATCAAGAAACAAGAGTGTTCACTGAAACTGTATTAAAAGTGCAGCTGGAATTTCATGCCAGTTGAAACGTGAATGTCCATTACTGTCATTGCAGCTGCAGTTTCTGCTCCAGCTTAGCTTCCCTGCAGTGACCTTTCCAAACATGTGTCTCCTCAGGCTCAGAGGCTGCCTGTGGCAGAAGGGCTGTGCCAAGGGAGGCAGCCTTCTGGACGAGTGATGGGGTCAAATGCTGTAGTGATGGGAAAGTTTTTAAAACGTGCAAAACTGCATATTGTTGCTTGGAGGGTTGTTTTAGGCATCTTCCAGAGGGAGTGTGTAGTGCAGTTAAGTACTTTCCTGTTCGTTTAGTCTTCAACATTTTATGTTGCTTTGTTTTTCAAACAGCAGCTGACTTTTGTATGGGAACATCTTTTGGATCGTACCCTTGGATTACACCCATGAATGGAAAGGCAATAGATCCTACCCACGCCTAAACTATCACTCAAGGCGAAGAGGAAATCTGTGCCAAAGAGAGCGAGCTGCAGTAGGAAAGTGTTCTTTGCAGCTGTGTGCTGAGTGGATGTGTAAAGAGGTAATGCTTCAATTGCAAGGCAGAGGAAAAGGGAACACTGTTTTCACAGCAGATATTTTCCAGCCCACTGATGTAAAACCCCCTTGTTTCCTTATTAGAGGATACGACGCAGACTTCCACACTTGCAGAGACCCTAGGGAAAGCGAATGTTCACATGCATGCGATGAAGCTGCATCACAACAGCTGCAGGTTTAAGCAGTCCTTTCTGCTCTTGGTAAGTGTGAAAAATCATTGGCAAATAAGGTTAGTATTGGTCCTAGGGCTGTTTCATGTGCTGTCAGTTAAGAGGGTAAAAATCAGGTGATTTTGCAAGTGAAGGCAGATTTGCATTTTTTGCCTAACTGACGTGTTCTTACTTACTACAAAGATTAAAACATGAAGAAAGCTACCTCTGCATCATTCCCTGTATGCTTCTCTTGACTGGCATTACTGTCCTCATGCCTTTTTCAAACTGTCTCTGCTTTCCTCTCAGATTTGGGGGTACCAGCATAGTGTTTCAAAGGTAAAAGTGGAATGTGTTCGCTTTAACTAACTTGAAAAACCATAGACAGTGAAGTGGCAGTAGCATAGACACAAGTCAAGCTATACTCCATACCCAGGAGCTCTGCCAAGTGGAGTCAGTTTGTGCTGTAATTCACAGCAGTACATCGTAGCTGGCATAGCCATTGTCAAAATCTGTCTAGTTTAAAGGTAATGCTGATACTGAGTCCTTACTCTGCAATCCTCCAAATACACGTAGCTGCAACTTAACACATCCCTGACCATTGTACTTGCTTCTGTCCTTCAGAAATAGCTTTTGTCTAGGAGAAGTTGTAATGTTGATATTTGTTAGCTGTCAGACTTGAAAGTTTGGATGCTTTTATTATAATAATTCAACAGGAATTTTGCTACCCACAGTTACTGAATCTCACAATGCATGGCAAGTGTTTCCGAAATGGGTGCAATGACTGGATTATCTAGTAGCATGGACTGAGAGGAATGTACTTGCAGAGTGAAATTAGTAGTGAGAGTGCCACATTTCAGGCTTTTTCAGGTTTTGTTAGTTCAGACTGCCTTGCATGTACTGAGCATCCATTTGCAATTGGAGTGCATTGTACGTGCTGCTAGTGCATGTCTTCTGGGTTAGCTCTACCCAAAAAGAATGCATTTTGTGCAAGAGCCACGACGCAGACAAACAACAGTATCACAGGGCTGGGGAGGAGGATGAAATAAAGGTTGCCTAAAATCTCATAATCTAAACCAGCAAAGAGTACTACACCCTAATTTTAAAGCATTATTGTTTATTGCATGTAAGAGGAGTGAGTGGATGGTGCATTTCCAAAAGTAGGAAACTTAGATGTCTTTTAATCAGAGGGTTTTTTGAAATTAGTATTTTAGCTTGTGTTTTCAGTGCTTAGCTCCGCTTAACTTCAGAATTGTCTTACCAAGTTACCAGCACACGGTAATTTTTTACACCAGTGTATGTTTGATATATATGCAAAAAGTTATAACATACTTGAGGTTTTGCAGTCTGTTTTCATAGCCGTTCCCATAGGCAATCCAACTTGTAATTTTGAGGGGTTTTAATACACTGGCTGGAAAAGTGTGGGTAGCTTAAAGTGACAAATAATCGGGAATGTTTACATTTTTCTTTGCCTGATATTCTGCTGGCTTATTAGAGTATGTTTACAAGTGAATGCCACAAATAGTTGGACTGAAGTTGTGAAATGCTCATCTAAAAGATTTCAGATTAGCTTTTTTTTTGTATACCGAGCCTTTATACCAGGATAACTGTACTTAAATATTGCCTCAGCTTACGCTGTCTTGATGACAGGTTGTTTTTTTTTCTAACAAATAATTATTTTGGGAGAAAAAAAAGGAAAAAGGTGGCTGTGTTTTGATTTGATTTTTTTGTGTGTGTTTCATTTGGGGTTTTTTTTTTGGTGTGCTCCCATCTGAATGTTCTTTATAATGTCAAAGAGACTGAGAAGGCATTTCCCACTCCATTTCCTCCAGATATAATTTACCACAGGATTGTAGAAGTATGTGAACTGTAGCATAGGGAAGAAGAAAGAAATAGCATTTCCCGTGATATTGATATTACTGGGTATACTGGGTAAAAGACTACGAACTTAAACTGCAAGCCTGGTGTTTAAGTTGGTAGTGTTCAAATTCTTTAATTAAGGACTTTGAAAGGACTCTACTTCTGAGTTTATTTCTGCATTAATTTTTTATTCACAAGGATTAATTGTACGGGGCAAATAAGATAAACTGTCTTGAGCAGGAGTGACAAAAAGCAGTGTGTGTACACTATATGTTTGCAAAGTCAGCAGCACGGTTTCAGGGATGATTTTATCCTGGAAGCTAGCATCTGGCATGCTGACCTCACGGACTGACAGAAGATCCACACATAACACATGCAATCAACTTACAATGGGGAAAAAGTTGGCAAAGTTTGTGCTTACCGCACAAAACTGCCCTGCGTGCACGTGGCAGAGGGATGACGTGTCCCTGTCAACTCCTGGGAGAGCATTCCCTGTTGGAAAGGGAGGTTGCCTTCGGAGACAGAAGTCACACGCTTAGCAGTTTCATTAGAGAAAGCTGCATTTTGGGGAAGTATTTCGGGATTGTCTGAGGTGTGGCTTAAAGATTTCTTATGTATGTTCTCAATAAGGAAGCAACAACTATCCAGAGCTCAGGAGCTGAGAGCACAGTGTAATGAAAATATAGCCAACCTGATGAAGAAACCCTCTTTCATTCTTTCAACAGTGAACATAGTTGTGTTGGCAAAGGATGGGCAGAGACTGAGTAAGGAGCCAAAGCCATTTGAAAATAATATAAAACGATACCTGCTGTCACATCTCCTTGAGTTAGGGTCTTACCGTGATTTCTAAGCTGAGTCAGCCTTTACCCTTGTTAGTAGCTTGATAGGAGAGCTGATAAGGAAAACCCATCACATTTTTAGGACATGGTATTTATGGGTAAGTAATCAGTGCTGTCATTCCCTCCTCCTCCACAGCCAAAATCAGTGCTGCACCTTACCCCATTATTCACCTTGAGTATTTTGGACTTCCAGATTACTGCAACCACATCCTGGCCCCTAACACTGATTAACTTCCCCTCAGCAGGTTTCACCAAGGAGGACTATAAATCAGATGTGCCTTGGTCATGTTCTAAACTGGGTAATTAAATTTTCCCTGCCTACATTACCTTTGAAGTTTCAATTACTTTACAGCTTCTTTTCCCTTCTTTATTTGATTTCCTGAACTGGTTTGCAGTATTTCTTTGCTCTCGTGCATGTGTCTACTCCAGATACATCTGTATTTGAACCACAGTAATTCTGCCACACGTGACATTTGTATAGCCCTTGCAGACATGCTAGGAACCAATAAATATATGTGTTTCCTTAGTGATATAACAGCGATTCATGATACATTATCCTTCACCATACTTTGAAATAAATATGCCCATGTTTTTTATGCACTTGGAAATGCAAAGAGCCACATTGTTTATGGAGGCATTGCCCTCATAGAATCATAGAATAGTTAGGGTTGGAAAGGGCCTTAAGATCATCCAGTTCCAACCCCCCTGCCATGGGCAGGGACACCTCACACTAAACCATGTCACCCAAAGCTTCGGATGTGGAGAATATCCTTCAGTTCAGAGCTTTTCCGTGTCACTGTCTAAATCAGCATGTGGAGGGCAGGAAACCGCTTCTCTGATAAGAGAGGCTGCAGGCCCTGGGTATTTTGTTTGTTCTGGAGCAAGACACATCTTTTAGCTGCCACAGCTCTTACCTGGCTCTTTGCTATTACTCTAACAATAAGTTGAAGCTGTGGCTTAGGTCATGAGAGCTCTGCAGAAACATGGTTATAAATTCCAGACAGTCAAATAAAGCTTCGCACATCAGATGAGAATACAGAGCAGAAAGATTTGATTTAAGGCACAGTGATCCAGGTTGATGCACTGATGTAATTTCAATCTCTCACAAAGGTTAAAAGGAAGAACTAATAAAAAAGAATGTTGGAACTAAGCCTATCACTGAGATCTCTACCTGGGGAATATTGATTTGATACTATCAGGCCAGAGGAAAGGCAAGGGTTCTTGCATTTATTGTAGCAGTAAGAAGGTGAAGTTGTACTTCTTAATGATGTTCCACTCCAAACACAAACACTGAATCGATATTCAAAGGTGCTGTTTCCTACTGGAAAAGTCCACGGCAGGAGAAGTTGAGGAATGAATTGCGTTGCCCACATAGACTTAAAGCATACACCATGGGAATATGTTAGTTCTATGCTTTTTACCCAGGCATTGCAAGAGGGCTCTTGGACTTTGATGTGCTCAGGTTTTGCATGTTGCTTGTATGGTAATTCAGATGCTGCTGTGAGATTACCACTGCTGGTAACCTAACAGTAATCTGGATACTGAGTTTTAATGTAGCAGTACAACAAGACTTTTTAAGCACAACATTCCCCCTTCAAAGCGTCAGTTGTGCCAGCACCAGCAGGCAGCTGGGGAAGGTCTGCCACAGCCTGACAACAGTAAGGCAGGGCTGAGACCTTCCCTTACGTTGTCAACTTCCATCGCTTGGTAATGGTGAGGAGGAGATGGGCCAGAGAAAGGAAAATGAAGAGATGACATGGAAAGGAAGTTAAAGAGAACAGGCGTCAGAACAGGGGAAGATACTGCTATTGCTGCATGATAAAGAAATACATAAAATTAACTATTTTTATAATTAAAATACTAGAGCTTGTTCAGTAAAATGCCTTTTCATATCTGGAATAGCATTCCAATCCAAACTTGTTTTCGATAGAGATGCAACACAAAATTTGAGTGCATTATGAGTCCTTGTGTAGCCCCGTATATAGGTGAGATGAAGTGATTCAAGTGTAACGTTGTGTTCGGTGTACATAATACTGACTTTTTTCTTTGCCCCATCTTTTACCCTCTTCTGGCAGACTTAAGCAGGAAATGACATGTGGGTAGGAGTGTCAATATACTCTTAACATCACCGTTTATCTAGTCCTGCTCATGACAATAGCTGGCTATTGGCATAATGTTTATAGAGAGCACAAGATGAACTAGAAAGCAGGGCAACAGCATTGCCCTTGCTGCTGTTCAGAGTCAAATAAAGCCCTATCCCTGATGGGGTAAACTATTCAGAAATAGAAATGAGTCTGATTTTCCTGCTGCCTTCCACTGATAGTGGTCATTTACTCTTGGGGTGTTATATGT